TACCTCTGAAAACCTGCTTGACAGTATACAACAATAACATAGACAAACAATCCTCTAGAGTATGAGTATGCACTCTTTTTCCATTTTTTATGTTTAATGTATTTTTTATTTTTTTACTTTTTTAATTATTAATTTTAATGAAAATTTACAATGACTTTGGATTTCCATTCATTCACTGTTGCACTTTTCTCCCTGCCCACTCCTTCCCCCTCAGTACACTCTTCTCTTTGAAAAGTGAAAGAAAAATTCTTTCATTGTTTTACAATCCCTCCCGCCAGGTCCACCCCACTATGCAGCCTTCGTTCTGGACTCCTGTCATGACAATAATACCTAATCACACATCTCTTTTGAACAGTTTTCACTCTCATCTGTTTCAATGCAGCAAACATTATTTATCTCATATTTCTCAGTCTCCCCCTAACCCCAATGCAAGTCTTGTTTTAAAACAGTGGCACCATGCAGTATTTGACCTTTTGTGAGAGAGACACTCCATTCAGCATAATGTCCTCCAGGGTTACCCATTTTGAATAATATTGCATGAGTTACTTGTTTTTCAATGCAGCATAGTACTCCATTGTGTGAATATACCACAGCTTCTCTATCCATTCGTTTGTTGATGGGCACTTCGGTTGTTTCTAACTCTTTGCTATTGTGGACAAAGCCGTGATAAACATGGATGTGCATAATTTTTATTTTATACTCATTTGCTTATAAAGTTTGTGTACATTCTGTTTCATTTATTTTTATACTTAAATTTTGGGTCATATCTAGAAAGTTTTTGTTTGGTTTTTGGGTTGATTTGTTTAGTTTTAATACCTTCAGCCCCCCAAATAAATCTTATTTTCTCAAATTCCAAAAGATTTTCTAATTATAGGGTAAATAATTCTAGCAATGTAAATAAAATACTAGGCATTCATAGATCTATATATGCAAACGTTGAGGAGTAATTACATCAATTGGATGACTAAGGTGCATTTGACTCAGACCATGGCCTTTTTGATCACTTGTTATGTATCTGACAGCTGGACAATGAATAGGGAGGACAGAAGAATGGATGTCTTTGCGCTGTGGTATTGGAGAAGAGCACTAAACATCCCATGGATGGCCAAAAGAACAAATATGTCTTGGAGAGGGTTCCACCAGAGTGCTCCTTGGAGACAAGAATGATGAGGCTTTGCCTCACATACTTTGGGCATGTTGCTAGAAAGGGCTATTTCTTAGAGAGGGACATGAGGTTGGCTAAGGAGAGGAAGATCCTTGACCAGGTGAATTGATGCGTGGATTGTCCCAATGGGCTCCAGAGTGCCAGGAAGTGTGAAGATGGCACAGGATAGGACAGGGTTCAGATCCACAGTTCATAGGGTCTCTATGAGTTGTACTTGACTCAAATGGCACCTAACAACAACAACAACAAGAACAGCTAATAAATATTTAAATAGTCTCTTTTTTTAAATAATCTATAATTTTCCAGTAAATATTGTCTGACTTTAAACTTGTTAACAAATGAACCATATTATTAAATACTTAAGGTTTACTCAATGGGACTTATTTCTATCCCCTAAATGACCAATCTGTAACTGCTTTTTCTCATTTACATCTTATGTTTAGTGAAGGAAACGAATAACAAAGAGCAGTCAGGGATCCAGGGGAAGACAAGACTCTAAATCAACCCTAAGTGACTCTTGGAGCTGCCTCATATTAGAGAACTCTTATCTTCTTCGACTTGGACCCATACACTGGAGACTAGCTGACTGACATTAGATCACATCAGTAGGAAGAAAGAGGGAGGGAACAGAAATAACAAGATCCTTCTTAATATGTTTATTGAAGAAGAAATCATAACTCAGCATGAAGAAATTCATATTGAAAATTTTCTTTTTTTTATCAGTTGTTGTTATGTGACTGATTCATAGCTGATCCTCCAGCAGGTCTTCAGAGACTATAAATGGCAAAGGAGATTGCCCATTTTTCTCCTGAAAAGAATCTGACGGACTAAAATAGCCTGCCTTTGAGTTGTCCTTGAAACTCTTCACTCAGCAGGCCACCAGAGCTGTGATGTTTCTATTGACAAGTTTACCATTTTTTGCTATGCAAAAGTAGTATCTACTGAAATGACAATTTCAAAGATTAAATAAAAGAAGGGGGGTGGGGGAGAGAGAGTAGAAGAGTCTCCTTCTCTTGACCACTTTCTGCCAGGAAAAACAAAACAAAATCAAACCTGAATAATCAAAAGAAACCAGTTTAAAAAGTTATCATATCTCACTACAGCCTTCATTAAACAAAAGAAAGCTGTGAGAGAAAAATATTATTGGATCTCTCCCATTTTTAGGCTACTTCTTAGTGTTTTGAATCAACCAAAAAAAATCTTCCTTTTATAGTGCTTGGACTGGCAACTGTGTTGTGGCATCATTTAATATCGGTATGTCTTTTACCAGATCGTTAAGTCCAAAAACAAAATTTGCAGATGTGTGGAGACATATGTTGGCGAAAAAAAGGAGAGTGCCAAAAGCTAAAAAAGTCACTGCTATAAAGATGAAATGTGAAGAAATACAGAGCAGAGGAACTCCAGAAGGACAGTTTTTTGGGGGTTTGTAGGGAGAATGTCTCTTCATTAACAACCTGTGGAGTGTGTAGACAATACAATCTTGCTTACTGGGCATGAAGCTGATTTAAATCTCTTACTGATTGAAAGTAAAGGACTACACAGCACTGAAAAACAATGAACTCGTAAAACATTACATAACATGGGGAAACCTGGAGCACATCATGCTGAGTGAAATATCTCAGTCACAAAAGGACAAATACTACAGCACCACTGTTATAAAGCAGATTTGACTTGTGGGACTGGGAGGAGAACAGAATAAGAGTGGATAGGTAATGACCATTGCATTGGAATAGATCAAGGAAAGAACTATCTAAGATGAATATGTAATAATTAAGCAATATATGTAGGACTACAGCACAGAAAAAGAGATATATCATTGCAAAGAGGACTAGGGGTGGAGAAGGTAGGTAATTTTGCAACAAAGAATGACTAAAAATAAGTGAACTGGGGGAGAGAGAAGGAAAGGCAAGGAGGTAAAATGTACAACAATGAATGAGTGGAAATCTAACTTCTCTGTAAATGTTTGTTAAAGTCACAATTAAAATAAAATTTAATTTAGAAAAAGAAAGTAAAAGACTGGTTTTCAGAATGAATTACACTTCAACATAAAACAAAATTTTTCACAACTGTACAAATAAACAACATCAAGATAAACAGAAAATACTGAAGTTGCCAAGAACTTAATTTTACTCAGCTCCACAAACCCCATAGAATCAATGTCAAAAAATTCAAATAACTTTGGACGAATCTGTAGCAAAAGATCTTTTTACATTTTTGAAAAGCAAGAATATCACATTGATGAATAAAGTTTGCCTTACTCAACCCATGGTCTTTGAAATTTTATACACATGTAAAAGCTGGAGAATGGGAGGGGAAAATACTTTTGAGTTAGAATGTTAAATATAGCTTGGACTTCCAGCCAAGTGAGCAAACTTTTTTTGAAGCAGATAAAGCCAGGATGCTCTTGGAAGCAATGACAGTGATATTTGACTTACTTGGGACACATCAAGAAGACCCAGAATCTGGAGAAGGACATTAGATTTGGTAAAGATTCAGTGAAAAAGAAAATCTCAATGAAATAGGCTGACAGAGTGGCTTCAATAATAAATTCAAACATAGCAACAATTGTGAGGATAGTGGCAACAATTTGTTCTGTTGCAGATAATGTCACTATGAGTTGGAGTCAATTCTATGGCACCTAACAACAATTGTAATAACCAAGGAGAATCTTCTAGTTGAGGATGTTAACTCCTATCAAAAGGAAAATTCTTAGTTGAATTAAAATAATGAGCATGAATGTAAAAAATAACAAAGTTTGGGATTTTTTTTAAACCTATCTTTACAATACATAAATAACAAGGATGCTTGCAGTAAACCCCTACTGAATTTATATCCCTGCTGAAATACACTGGGTCAGAAAAACCAGGTTCAGAATCAAATACAATAAACTAACATTTTCAAAGAACCTACTATGTTTACTAGATATAATAAGAAGCCTAAAAAACAAAATAAAGGCACAAGATAAGGGTTCCTAATGTTTTAGGAATTTTTTTTAAAAAATCTATTTCAAGTTTGTTGTTGTATGTGCTGTCAAATTGGAACTCATAGCTGACCCACTAGTGGGTTTTCAGAGGCAGTAAATCACAAAGGAGGACAATTGTCTATCTTTTTCCCTCGAATCAGCTCTCAGATTCGAACTGAATGTCTTCAAGTAGGTAGTGAAAATCCATACTTCTAGGTCAACAGAGTTCCTTATATTAAATGATGCAGGATCAATTGTATATGAACAGAAAGTCAAATAAAAGAGAACATGATGCCTTATTCAGAATCTTGTTTGTGATAGATGTGAGCTGGTATGTTTGGGGAAATTTCTATTCATATTTTATGCAATTAAAGATCAGCTTTCTCTATATTTTCACCAGAGAAGTAAATGAAAAGAAGATATTCATCACTATCACCTTACAATTCTAAAAATAAAATAGCATCTTAAGTATAGATATAGAAAGCTAAATCAGAGGTTTTCTGGGTATCAGGAGAAGAAAAGTTGTTTTTAAAGTAGGTGAGAAGGGGGGGGAGAAGTTAAATTTAATAGCTTGAAGAAAGAAGTAGAAAGGTACCTCAGTAACATGGGCAAATGCAAATAGAGAAAACCACAACCACAACCAACCAACACCAATCAGACTGATGTTACTTGTGGGTGCCTTCTGAGGATTGGTAGAAATGACTTTTTTAAAAAAAATCTGTTTTTGTGTTTTGTTCCAAAACCTTTAAGGGGGGGGGGCAAAAGAGGGTCACTGCATAAAAGAAGCTGCCTTGAGATTTCTCAAATCCACACAAGAACCTCATAGGAAAGGAAACCTTCCAGTTTTGCAGTTGTGATCTTGGAACTTCAATGATGGACCCAGATGAAACCTCAGCTTACCCAGGTTACTTCGATGCTACAAGCGAAATCCCTGACATTGAGGAAGTTCGCTCTCATGTTCCTTACACATCTGTCTTCCTTCCCATCTTTTACACAGTTGTGTTTCTGACTGGAGTGTTGGGGAACCTGGCCCTGATGGGTGCCTTGCATTTCAAAAGGGGCAGCCGAAGACTGATCGACATCTTTATCATCAACCTGGCTGCCTCTGACTTCATTTTCCTTGTCACGCTGCCTCTCTGGGTGGACAAAGAAGCATCATTAGGGCTGTGGAGGACTGGCTCTTTCCTGTGCAAAGGCAGCTCCTACATGATCTCAGTCAATATGCACTGCAATGTCCTCTTGCTCACTTGCATGAGCATCGACCGCTACCTGGCCATCATGTGCCCTGCTGCATCCAGAAAATTCAGAAGGAGAGACTGTGCATATGTCGTCTGTGCCAGTGTCTGGCTTCTCTCCTGCCTCCTGGGACTGCCTACTCTTCTGTCCAGGGAGCTCATCCTGATTGGTGATAAGCCATACTGTGCAGAGAAGAGGGCTACTTCCTTTAAACTGGTTTGGGCCTTGGTGGCCTTAATTTTGACTTTTTTTGCCCCCTTACTGAGCATCATGACCTGCTACTTCTGCATAATAAGGAGACTGTGTGTCCATTACCAACAGTCAGGAAAACATAACAAAAAGCTGAGGAAATCCATAAAGATCATTTTCATTGTGGTGACAGCCTTTATCTGCTCCTGGCTGCCCTTTAACACTTTCAAGCTTCTGGCCATTGTGTCTGGATTAGACAAAGAAATCTACATTTCCTCAGCCACTCTTCAGCTGGGTATGGAGGTGAGTGGACCATTGGCATTTACCAACAGCTGTATCACCCCTTTTATTTACTATATCTTTGACAGCTATATCCGCAGCGCCATTGTGCACTGCCTGTGTCCCTGCCTGAAGAACTATGACTTTGGGATCAGCACTGAGACTTCAGATAGCCACCTTACTAAGGCTCTCTCAAACTTTATTCATGCAGAGGATTTTGCCAGAAGAAGGAAGAGATCTGTGTCACTCTAAAGGAGTTGTGACATTTCCAGCTCGGTTTTCGGGTTCTGGAGTTCCTTTTAATCACCAAGAAAGTAAGAAAGGTATTGATGGTGGAATTATTATTTTAGAAATACAAGGAACAGTTAATTATTTAAAACAAAAGGACTCCAGAGCTTTTGGGTTTATGGGTATAATTGAGCTCTGTGCAGCTTTTTTTTTTCCCCGCTGAGTGGCTTCATTTGACCTTTGCCAGTCAAGTTTACCAGGCAAAATACAGCTTAAATCTCTGCTTGAACTCCTTAGATAAAGGTTCTTGCCCAGATCAGCCGCTTTCTTCATAACGCTGACTTTCAAGTTGAACAACTTTTAAGGATTCTTTTCAGTTCTGTTGGATGTGAAGTGTGGTGTCAACATAGGAAGTAAAAAATATATCTGTGCTCCATAATTGCTCTTGACTAAGAAAAACTAGCTTTGTGTGATGATTTCTTCATCATCATCATCTTTCATCTGATGTCTACACTTTGCACTGGCAAAAAGCTCAAGATGATAAAATACTGTGTTTATAAAGTACTGTGTTTATTATTTGAACCTTATTCTACCACCTGGTATTCTGGAATTTTTTTAACCAGTAAGCAGAAGGCAAAGTCTGATCTTTATTTACCTTATAAAATATATTAGTTGAAATGTGTTTCATTTTAATAGAGTTGCAACTACTTTTAATGGAGTTTTACTCTGCTCTTTTGTTTTCATTGCCTTTATAAATTCGGATATGACTTCATTTTAATTACATCTATTTAATTACTCAGTTAATGACTAATCAAACAAATATGTTACTATTAACCTAATTAGAGGTTGCCAAATGTTTAGCTCCACCTCATGTGGAATTATCATTGTGGATTTTAATTAAAATGCTAGATGTTACACATCTGCTATAGTATCATTGTTTTGTGTATATAATTGCAAGACATGATCCAGCAATATAGAAAAACTTGCTAATCTGAAAATATTACTGGAATCCCATGTGTAGTGTTTTGTTTTGTTTTTCCATGTGTCGTGTTTTCTTTTCCCTTCAAGCTCAGGTACTTTCCTAAATCCATTCATTCACCAAATAACTATGTTTTAAGTTGCCTTGTTATAAAAAACTTGGAAGTGAAAAACATGTAATTAGCAATAAACACTAAAGACTGCGACAATAACCATGCTTTTCTAAACTTATCTATTAAGAGAAAACGGGGGATGTAGTCTCCCCCACCCTTGCCATTGCTGACCCAAATGAACTCTCTTTTTACTTCTAAATATTACATTTTAAAATATGAGTAAATTTGGAATCTCTGCAGAGTTAAATAAATTTCATATTAGAAGAAATCTCAAATATTGAGCACCTTTTTGTATCATGATATATTTCCAAAACACCAAACCACTTCCATCAAATTAAGTCTGACTTATAGTGACCTTGTAAGAGAATATAGAATTGCTCTATAAAATTTCCAAGACTATAACTCTTCACAGAAGCAAACTGTCACGTCTTTCTCCTGAGCAACAGCTGACGTGTTTGAATTACCACTCTGTCATTTATCAGTTGAGCACTTAAACATTATACCACCAGGACTCCTATAACCTACTTAAAAGTTGAAACATAGCATTGGATTTTTAAAAAATTGGATAATTAGTTCATCTTAATACTTCATTAAATAAAAATAAAATCTTATATACTGTAAATATTCTTTTGTATTATAAAGTATGCCTAGTAAGTAAGTAAATAAATAAATTCTAATGTGTATTACTAAATTAATATGGCTATATTAAATTAAAAAAGAGAAGATGGTGTAAGTAGTAGCGATGTATCTTGGAAAACTCCAAAATTAAATTAAAAATAATTTTACTAGATATCTAAGAATTAAAACAACAGCAGAAAACCAGTCAGCATGAACTTTTTTTTGAGAACCAACAAAAGTATTATGACCAATAATATAAACAAGCAATTGTCTTTGAGAAGTGCAATTTTTAAAAAAGAAATAGATAAATCAGCTAAGTTATTTGTTGGAAAATTATAATATCTTGGTAATTAGTCACAGCATCATCCTTAATATTGACATTGAACAAGTCGTTTTCATTTTTCATACTTTAATCTGACAATGTCCATGTCAGAATTCTCAAAGATTTTATAAGACTATGAAATACAAAATTATATAAGTAGAAAAGTTACTACATAGAGGAATTTAATTTCTATTATTAATTATTGACTACTGCCTAAAAACTGGAAAGTCAAATTATACTTAACACTTTCACTTAGTAAAGAATTTATCTAACTTTATTATGTAATGTTATCCTTCTAGTTTTTGCTGTTATTATTTAAAATAACATGTAAAATCATATTGCTGTGTTGTCTAATTAAAATTGCTATGGTAATTTTATACTCTAAGAAAAGATTAGTATATTTAATATCCATAATGTTTTATCAATTGAAGGAAAGAACAGTATAATTTTAAAGGATCATAAATCTCTGTTGGAAAAATATCTAATGACTTCACCAACTTAACATACTATCATGTTACTTAACTATATGGAATGAAATATAATGTACAATAAATATAATAGCACTAAAGCGTTTCTTTTCAATGACTTGTTAAAGACTCATTTTGCATATTTTTAAAGTAGCATTATTTTTCCAGTTTTTAATATTATTAATAACTACTTAAATACAATGCAGATACAGATATATGTAGAAACATAGACACATATTTACAAATTCTCGAGAATTGCCATACCTACATTAAACTACTCTAATAACTATTCATTCTGTAGTAATTTATTGTTAGTAGAGCAACTCACAGGTTCACCATGAGACAGAATCAACTGATAGCGGGTTTGGTTTTATTTCTTCTTTAATAGAATAAGTTAACACCTATTGCCAAGGATTTCCAGAATATTAGCCTGGAATACACTCTAAATATAATCATGCCTTTACTAATCATGCAAGGTCAGAATCTCTGCGTTTCTTCAATCTCAATCAAAGCTATTGCAAGGTTGTTAATGACATATATAAGGGGCTAGTTATTTCCCAAGCCTTTTTCAAATAACTTTTTTTGACTCTACCATTGACTTTACCTCATTAAAGCATGAATAAGATGCTGTCTGATAATTCATTGACTTTACCTCATTAAAGCATGAATAAGATGCTGTCTGATAATTTATAAACAATTTATGAAATAGACATACCTAAGGAACGCAAGGCTGTGATACATATTTACTCCATTTGGATGGTATTGAGAAGATCAAAACTAACCTGACACTCGGGATTCCTTAACTTGTCCACACCAGACAGCCAAAATCAACTCTGTGGTGAACATAAGTGACAATACAATCTTAAAGAGAAGCTATGTGCGTGACTGAGGGTGGAATGTTACTTGGGGTCACAAGTTAAGTTTTAAATAGATTCAGAAATGCATAGTATGATGGTAAGGTGAGTGAAAGAACTCTTCCTCTATGATTCATCTTTGCTCCTCAAATCACTCTCTATTTTCTCCATAGTGATCTCAGAAGTAAGAAATGACTTGTCAGGTCTGTGTGCCACAGAGGACAGATTTTATTTTTTTGTAGAGCTCATTCACAAAAGTCAAGCTCTCTTAAAAGAATTACAAATTCACTTCTAAAAGAACCGCTGGTGCAGACTGCTAAAGGATGCTGGCTTGCAGCTCCCCTAGAAAAAGAAACACCATCAGATGAAAAGCAGAGGGTGGGTAGAATTTCTGATGGAAACAGTTAAAGGTGCTCAGCTTGTTATTGAAGATTCAAGCTCACTCAGACACAACTTAGAAGCAAGACCTAGCAATATATTTCCAAAGAATTAGCCATTGAAAACCCCATTTGGCGCAGTTCTACTCTGACACACAATGGGTCATCATAAGTTGGAACTGGCATAATGGTAACTGGCAATTCTAACTACCAAAATATTTGCAAATGATTGCATTTTGACTTGCATGTGTCTTCTCATGCATTGGCCTTTTCATTACAGTTGTCCATGCTCTTAGATTTTTTTTTCCCTTTGAGTCAATATGTTGTTTTTTTTCAGTCCCAGGACAAATCCACCAGCCACTTCAAGAGAGAAAAATGGGCAGCTTCCTTCTGTAAAGATTTACAACCTCAGAAACCCCCTGAGCAAATCAACTCAGCAATAGTAGTTAATGTTGTTTTTATAGGACATTTTCTATAAATGCAATGTTACCTGTAAGTTACTGTACCTGTGACTCGATTTCACACTGCAGATGTGAAAATTTACCTTAAATTGCCCAAATTTCATCCTGTTATTTTTTTTTCTTAATACATTTTCTAAAACAGATGTGAGGGGTGAGCATTACATCCTAATTCAAACCTGTCTCATTAAAACATAAGTTTCTAAAACTCTAAGCATCGATTAATAAAACTGTTAAAAGTTTTACGACAAACTAACTCATAGTGAAATATAAACTCACATAAAATGTTTATTAATCTAAACATTGTAGGGAGGGCATACCAATTGTCTTTCTCTGCAGAGCAGCTGGTGGATTTAAACCACGTGCCTTTGTATCAGCAGCTCAGTTCCTTACTACTGTGCCAGCAGTTCTCCTTAAATAAGAGACACTAGTCAAATAAGAAGTTAACTCCTAAGAGTACAAATTTATAAGAACCAAACACAATTTAAAGCTCTCATAGAGATATTTAGTTGGCTGCACATTGTTTGAGTTGAAGTTAATGTAGACACATTGTTACGTCAGAAGTTCTGCTGTCTGCCCACAGAAAATATAATCTTGGAGATGGATCTCAGTTAAAAGTTTTTCTACATAACAATCTACAGGGGAGAGGCAAAAAAAGACACTTCCCAGATCTATTTCACTGTACTGGAGACTGCAGGAGCTTCTGTAGAGTGCAAGAGGACAGGACAGTGAAATATGAAAAGATTCTCAGTATTTTTCTCTTGAAATCCATCAGCTACTCTGTGGGAGAAAGACAAGCAATCTTCTCCCATGTTAATCTTTGCCTCTGAAAATCCA